ACACGTTCTGCTGATCATTCTGTCTTCACTCTTCATGGTGGAAAATTCCGTCATCATGTGATCAACACTCCCAGTGGCCCTTGCAGGTCAATTTTTGCCTTGTTTCTGGAGCCAACGCGCAGTAATAACAATTAAAATACTCTGAGCCTTTGTCTGCCCTGCTCCAAGCACTGGCCTAGGTGCGGTTTATGAAGTTTAACTCATTTGTCCTCACAATAACAAGGAATGAGGATTCAAGTCCATGACCAAGTCCCAGACGTCTCCCCCACCCCAAAGTCCCTCCGGATTTGTCCATCTATGTTTTTTTCTTTTATTTCTCTTCCCCACCAGCCTTCTGCTCATCACTCACACATATTTGGTTACTATGTCCTAGGCACCTGGGAGGTCATAGTTGTGACAAGAGAGATGAAGGGGTTCTTGCCTCAGAGATGATACTCTAGTGCAGGAGATGGAAAATCAGCTAATAAAGAACCCACATGACATATAACGTCGAGTGGTGATGAGGGCAACTTATAAAGCCCAGGGGATGGTATAGTGGCCATTTTAAGATAAGGTGGTCAGGGAAGGCTTCTCTGAGGAGCTGAGGCTTGGGCCAGGCTCTGAATGGAAGGAGGCAGGCAGTGTAGGACACACTGGGGAAGAGCAGCCAGGAGTGGGGCTGCCAACATAGAGGCCCCAAGTGGAACCATCTCGACTGTTCTTGAACAGAATGAAGGCTCTGGTGGCCTCAGAATGAGTGAGCAGGACGATGCTGGGGAGTCTGGCCACAGAGTGGGGATTTCATTCTAGGTGGTGGGAAGCCATTGGGCTCAGAGGGGAGGAACAATACACTTTGATTTACATTTTAAAAACACTGCTGTAGTAGCTGTGCAGAGAGCAGAGTCCCAGAGGCAAGCAGGGAGACAGGGAGGCCAGGTAGAGGTGATATGCTTCAAACCAGGATGCAGGGGGCAAGAATTGGCATGTGGTGTGGAATTAGAGCCGATGGAACTTGCCGAGTGTTTAGGATCTTATCCAGCAGATGCCCACCCAGAGCCTGGGGCTGGGGGAAGAGGGATTGGGGGCCAGAAGGGGGTTTAATCTGCCAAGTGTTGGGGACAGCCTCATTTGTTCCTGGAGCTCCCAAGGGACTTGGGGAAGTTTATCCTCAACCCTTTCTTTCCTTCCCAGGGGCTGCCGGGAGGCTGTCAAGAGGATCGCCTATGAGTTTGTAGAGATGAAGGCCAAGGAGGGCGTGGTGTACGTGGAGGTGCGCTACAGCCCACATCTGCTGGCCAACTCCAAAGTGGACCCCATCCCCTGGAACCAGGCTGAGTGAGTGATGGCCCTGGGAGGGGCTGTGCTGAGAGGGTGGCTGGGTGCCCAACCCTGAAACCAGACCATCAGAATCCTTGACCCAAGCAAGACTTTGGTCTTGCCCCCTGATCTGGTCCATGGCATCAGAAAGAAAGGTTTAACTGTTAGAAGAGATGTGGTTCTGCTCCTTCACTTTGCGGTTTTGTTTTTACCTTGGTGCAAAAGTATTTGGATGTGTCTTGTAACCCATAGCTCTGGACACAGGCCTGCTGGCCAGGAATGTTAACCCACGTAGCCAGTGACTCCTACGGGTCCTGCTGTGACCCTGTAAGTGAAGTGAGTCTGGCCCATTCCTACCTCCCGCCTGGACCCTCACGGATCTCTAAGTGGTATCATGAAACCACCTCGCCCCATCCTCTACCATGATTCTGAGAGTGGGAATCAGACCAGGCCGCAGCTTAGCAGTGCTCTCCATCTGGGAGTCGGGAGGGCTACATCTCACCCCCCCACACACACCCCCTGCTGGGATCTAGAAGTGCCTAGACTGCTCTAAGGAAGCTAGAAGAGGTGTACCTGGACCCTCACGGATCTCTAAGTGGTATCATGAAACCACCTCGCCCCATCCTCTACCATGATTCTGAGAGTGGGAATCAGATCAGGCCGCAGCTTAGCAGTGCTCTCCATCTGGGAGTCGGGAGGGCTACATCTCACCCCCCCCCACACACCCCCTGCTGGGATCTAGAAGTGCCTAGACTGCTCTAAGGAAGCTAGAAGAGGTGTGTTAGGGCCTGGGGTTGTCTCTGTCAGTCTTTGCTCAGAGGAAGCAGGTCAGCAGGGGCGGAGGGTCCTCCCCCAAAACCCCTCCCTCTCCTCTGTCCCAGTCCTTTAGGACTTCCCTTTGCCTCAGGCCCATGCCTACTTCTCTCTCCACACAGAGGGGACCTTACCCCAGATGAGGTGGTGGCCCTAGTGAGCCAGGGCCTGCAGGAGGGGGAGAGAGACTTCGGGGTCAAGGTTCGGTCCATCCTGTGCTGCATGCGCCACCAGCCCAGTGAGTATGATCCCGGCCCTGCTGGGGGCTGCATATCTGACCCTGGCTCCCACATCCTGGCCTGGCAGTGGGGCTGTACCTAAGTCTCCTCAGTGCCTCCACCCTGTGGCATCCCCTTGAGCCCATCAGTAGGACCTTGGGGCTTCCTGAAGTCATTGGAGGCCTCCTAGGCAGGCTCAGAACTTCTGGTGACACATTTTTCTCCCCAGGGAGACCAGGCCTTGACAGACAGCCACATGGCCTGCAGGCGGCTCAGAACCAAAGGAGCCAGCATTAGAACTGAAAAGAATTCTAAGCCGGGTTCTGATCAGCCCAAGGTCTTCCCCTGAGACCCTGTGGGCCAGGCTTTGCCCTGTCTGGGCCACAGAACCCATGACTAGGTCTGATTTCTGGGATTTCTGAGGGGTCTCCCTTGTCACTGATGCTCATCAAATCTCCAGGGCTTGAGCATCATGGTTCTGAGCCCCCCTGTGTGATCTTGGGCAAATCATGCTACCTCTCTGGGACTCAGTTACACATTTTTATAAGGAGATGATCGTGTTTATCTCATTCCTCCACCTAAGGATTAGTGAGAACCAAAGCAAAGGGTTAATGCCAACCTGTAAAGCCTACTCTGTGCGGAATGGTTTGCACGCATTTTCTCTAATCCTGCAGCAGCCTGTGACATAGAACTACTACTGCTTATTCCCATGTGACAGATAAGGAAATTGAGGCAGAGAGAGGTGAAGCTTCTGCTCCCCAGTCAAGAAGGCACAAAGCCATGATTTGAATCTAGGGCCATCTGGTTCCAAAGCCTGTGTTCATTCATTCTTTTTAAATACTTCATAATAACTGCATTGATTAAGAGTACACAATATATCAGCAATATATTTAATAATATTAGATTACATTTTAAAATGCCTCTGCTTCCTTATCTGCTAAGTGGGGGTAAGCCCACCTTGCAGGCTATTGTGGGCATCACGTGACAGAATAACCCATTCGTCATTTACTGAGCCCAGGCCCTGTCCTTGGTGCTTTACACACGCCCTCAGCAAAGCTCTGCCAAGATCCTGCGCAGTAGCTGGTGGTGTTCCCTCTCAGAAGGGAGGAAACTGAGGCACTGGGCAGAGAAACGTGCCACAGGCCATGTGGTTAGGACACGGCAGTCAGGGTCTGAAGACAAGACACTAGGCCGTCTGTCTTGGGCTTCCCTGGGTGGGGGATGGGGCAAGCAGGGGCAGGGCAGCAAGCAGGAGGCTGGAAGGTCTCTCTCTGTGGTGCTGCTGACATAGGCCCAATGGACGTCTCACCCACAGACTGGTCCCTAGAGGTGGTGGAGCTGTGTAAGAAGTACCAGCAGCTGACCGTGGTGGCCATCGACCTGGCTGGAGACGAGACCATAGAAGGAAGCAGCCTCTTTGAGGGACACGTGAAGGCCTACGAGGTGGGTCCTGTGGGATGGAGGGGAGAGAGGCCAGCACTGGGTGGGTTTGTCCACCCACAGTAGGAAGAAGTCCCACGGACTGGGGAGAGTAGGGCCTCCAGAGTTCCCCAGTGTGTCTTGATTGGGTCTGGGAGCTTGGAACTAGATATAAAGAAAATACCCCCTTGGTGTTGGGAGTCCTGTGTTTGAGCCTGCTTCTGCCAATGACTTTCTGTGTGACCTTGGGCAAGACTGTCTCTTCTCTGGGCCTGATTCTTCTATCTGGATGACTGAACTGGAGCAGACATCTCAAAGGCCCCTTCCAGACTACTAATGCACTTCCTGTGGAAGGGGCCTAGCATGGTGGTTGAGAGGGGGGACTCTGGAGTCCCACTGCCCTGTTCAGAGCTTGGTTCCACTCTTTCTGTTTGACGTTGGTCATGTTACTCAACTCTCCTGAGCTTCAGTCCCCCCCCCCATAAAATGGGTATTATAATAGTTACAAATATTAGATAATATATACAAACCATGTCATACAGTGCCTGACACATAGTAACTCTCTAATAAATGACAGCTACCATTTAGATAATGATCGGGGGCAGGGAGTGGAGCAGAGTTCTCACGTGGTGGAAGCTGACCAGCCTGGCTGTGGGGATAGCTCAAGCCTGCCCAAACTCCTCCTGGGCTGCCCATGACCCGGCTCTTCCCCTTCTAGGAGGCCCTGAAGAGCGGCATTCACCGCACCGTCCATGCCGGGGAAGCGAGCTCAGTGGAAGTAGTAAGAGAGGTGAGGAGCTGGCCGTGGGGTCCCTTCTTCCCAGCTTCCTCCTGCCCCCTCCTCAGCTCCATGCTGCTTCTCTACAGGCCGTGGATAAACTCAAGACAGAAAGGCTGGGACATGGCTACCACACCCTGGAAGACGAGGCCCTTTACAACAGGCTGCGGCAGGAAAACATGCACTTCGAGGTGAGGGGCCAGGGAGTGGGGAGCCCCCTCCTGGACAGACAGGTAGAGAGCCAGGTGGTCCCGGGAGCTGTAGGAGCTGCACGGGAGTGGGCAGTGGGCATTACAGCTGGCAGGTGGTGGAGGAAAACAAGACTGATGAGCTCATGGGACTCACCAACAAGGTGGCCAGTGCAAACAGGGCAAGAATGGCGCCACAGGAGGCAGCCCAGCCCCAGGGCGGGGGGGGGGGGCAGGGCACGAGTGTGGCCTGCGCTGTGGGGGCCACACACACTGCTCTTCCAGGTCTGCCCCTGGTCCAGCTACCTCACAGGCGCCTGGAAGCCGGAAACAGAGCACGCGGTCGTTCGGTGAGGTCTGGTCCCCTAGGGCCCGTTTGATTTTGTTCCAGGAAAGTCGAGGGTGGGAAGGAAATGCAGGGACTGGGCTCTAGCCCATGCTGGGTCTCTTAGATAGGAAATCTCTTCAATTCCTTGGGAAGTAGGCATGGCCGTCATCATCGTATAAATGAAGTCCAAAGCTCAGATGTGTTGTAACTTGACAGAGATCACCCAGCTACTACCTAGCAAAGCTGGGGCCCTACAGCTCATTCAGCTATAGTAGAATGCCTGGCTACCCTTAATGAAACTTCCCACGCTCCTAACTCTCTCAACTCTGCCTCTTGGACATCAGGAAGATGAGTGCCTCCTGCCCACATGTTCTCTGCCTGTCACCTGGCACTTGGGTCCTCTTGGCACCTCTGGGCATTTCTCTTGAGTACCATCTTGAAGCTTTCCCCTGAGGGTCTGTCCTACCCCACAGTCAAGGCCCTTCTTCTGTCCTGTGACCAAGCTCTGGAAGCGGCATCACACCTAAGGAGGGCAAAGCTGCCTTCCCATGATGCAGGATAAGGACAGCAAGAACTTGGGGTGACTGTGGTCAGGCCAGTGCCATCCTGTCTGCCAAGCTTATGAGAAGGGAAGAAGCTTGGGCTCTGACGTTCTGATGACAAGGGAATCCTGTGGCCTGCCTTGGCCATGTTGAGTGTGCAGTACCTGTGGGACATCCAAGTGGAGGTTCTTAGAGGCATGTGGGTTTATAGCCCATGGGCTGGAGAAAGTTTCAAGAGTCATCTGTACAGACATGGTGGCTGAAGGAGATGCAAAGTTCCCAGGAGATGGTGGAGCAAGAGGTCCTAGGACAGAACCCAGGACAGTGACATTTAAGGGTGAGGCAGAAGAGACAGGCAGGAGGAAAGTGTGGTGTCAGAGAAATCTAGAGAATGGCTTTCAAACACTGTCAAATTTGTCAACAGTGTCAAATTCTGCTACACAAATTAAGTCAGGTAAGATCTAGGAAAGGTCTGCTGGCTTTAACAAGCGGCATTCACCACACCGTCCATGCCGGGGAAGCGAGCTCAGTGGAAGTAGTAAGAGAGGTGAGGAGCTGGCCGTGGGGTCCCTTCTTCCAGGCTTCCTCCTGCCCCCTCCCCAGCTCCATGCTGCTTCTCTACAGGCCGTGGATAAACTCAAGACAGAAAGGCTGGGACATGGCTACCACACCCATGGTCCCAAGAAGTTTCCATGGTGTGTTGGAAAAGCCATTTGCCAGCAGGATGGAGGAATGATTGCGACAGGGTGCCGAAAACTGTCCTAGAATGTTGGCTGTGGAGGGGAAGGCAAGAGAGGATGGTAGCTGGAGGCGTAGGTTGCCCAAGCCCCCATTCTACCTGGGTCTCCTGACAGGCCCCTCTTCTGCCTCTGCCCGGCTTTAGACTAGCAGGATGGGGTTGAGTCATGAGTTGTTAGTTATGTGGCCTTGAACAAGTCACCCGAGTTCTCTGACTTTGTTTCCTCCTCTGTACAAGGATAAGATCTTTCAGGTATAAAGTTGCTGTGAGGAACGAAGGATGGTGAAAGTCAATGTGCACTGGCTGTTTCCCCCTCTCTTATCCAGGTTCAGAAAGGACCAAGCTAACTACTCACTCAACACGGACGACCCGCTCATCTTCAAGTCCACCCTAGACACTGATTACCAGATGACTAAACGGGACATGGGTTTTACCGATGAGGAGTTTAAGAGACTGGTGAGTGGGTGAGCCGTGTTGGCCTTGACTCTCAGCCCTGGGAGTGAGGCCTACAGGTCCTATCCAGGGGCTGGAACCTCTGGAGATGGGGACAGAGTTTGCCTCAATAGTCTAAGACAAGCCAAAACTTGAGTTAGACATCTACAGAGAGGACGTCTTTGTGCTGATGTCCTGACCTAGGGCCAGGTTTTTAATCCTTGGTTTAGGTCAGGTGCCCTCAAAAAATCCAGTGAAAACTGTTGACCTTCTCCCTAGAAAGGTATGCCCAGCGATGGAATTTTGCACATGCTTTTCAGGCCTTTCCTAGAACCCAGGCTGAGCCCTTGATCTTGGGGGTTACACCACCCTGAGTCAGTCCCTGCAGGGGTATCTCTCTGGCCCTGTACATCCCACAGTCTCTCAAAGTTTACTCCAACTTCCTTCTCACATCCCTGTATCATGCAATGCCACATTAAGAAAACAAAAGCTCATGGTCTCTGCTCTGGCATTTACTGCCATGTGACCTTGAACAAGTCCCTTCCTCTGAGCTTAACTGTCCATGTTCAATGAAGAGGATGGAATATCACTAGATTGCCAAGGGCTCCCTTCCTTGCTCTCTGGTTCCATGTTGTTTGCCATCCTGGCCCTTCCAGAACATCAATGCGGCAAAGTCCAGTTTCCTCCCAGAAGGTGAGAAGATGGAGCTTCTTGATCTGCTCTATAAAGCCTATGGGATACCATCTTCAGCCTCTGCAGGTATGATCCTGTCTGGATTTCTGGGCTGTCACCCTGCCCTGGTTCCAGCCTGACTTTCTGTGGGATTTCTTGCAAGATGCCCTTCCTCTCTTAGGCAGCACCAAGAATGTGTGATGACTCTCTGGTTACTGAGCCCTGGCTGATGGCAGCTTCTCACTAGGTGGGCTTATTGTCTGTATAATTGCTGTCTTAAGCGGCTGCTTAAGGAGGGAGACTTCCTAAAGCCCAGTCCTAAAGGTCTGGGCAGGTTGGGGCATCTCCGTGGCTGCCCAAAGCCAGGGCAGGGATTGAGGCCCAGGTCCTAGCTCTGTTCTGATCCTTCCTTCCAAGGTGGCCTTGGCAAGGCATTCCCAGCTCTAAGCGTCAGTCTTGCTATCCATAGAAGGGAATTCCTTTCTGGTTCTGAAGGTCTGATTTTTACAACATCCTGGGTACTGGGAATTGCCTAACTTTGTTTCTGTGACCTGACAAGCAGAGCAACACCCCTGACAATGCCATGTCCGCCTGTTGTAGCCCTCACCCTGTGGATGGGTCTAGTGACACTCTTACCTTTATTCCTTCCAGGAAGACCATGACTTCAAGAGTCAGCTACTGATCCTCTTGAAGCCCGTTTCTGTACACATATACCTTGGCAAGGCCACATCTCTCTAATTATGTGCCCTGGACAGGGACCAGGGTGCTTGGTGATGGGCATGGTTCAATCTGAAATCCTCCTCTGATGGTGACTTGTGCTGAAAAACTGGTGCTCAATAAACCAATGGCTGGTGCTGTGCAGCACATGGCGTGTGATGCTGTGGTCTTGGAGGGGCTGACTTGGGTGAGATGAAAATGGAAGGAGCCCCTGGGGTCCCCAGACTCACGCAGCCTGCTCAGTGCCAGGGCTCTGAGCCCAGTGGAGGCTGCCCATGGAAGCCAGAGCTTCCAGTGCTGTGGGCAAAGGGGCCCATAGCCTGTCCTGCCTCCAGAAGAAATGAGACATCTCTTGCAGGGTTGTCTATTTAAATACTCCCTGAACTCTTAGCCCCCTCCTACTCTAGGTTTTAAAGGGAAAACCTTCCTTTTGAGTTCTTGAAGCTGTGGGTTGGGGTGACTGAGAGGGTAAGAATTATAAGGACTCATCAAATACTGGGCCTCTCAGTGGTGCTGGCCTCTGTGGAACACAGCATCTCTATCTCATTCCATGGACACCTGGGGCAGTGATGGATCCCAGCTAATGGTGGACTTGGGGAAAACAAGGCTTAGTCACTGCTTCTGCTGTTTAAAGGACAAATAATCTCAAGCCAGTCACACAAATCATCAGCATTTATTTCCTGGGTCTTAGATATCACTTATAGTGGTAGAAAGGGCAAACAGTTGGTCAAATAGTTTTGAGCCAAAATCCCTTTCCTAAAAATGGATCTGTGAAACTCCATGAGTGAACCTCAGAGCTGCATAGATGGTCAGAGGTTAGCTTGAAATGGCTTTTAAAAATTGTGAATTGATTGTCAACTCCCCCCCCCCGCCCCACTGGAAAAAGGATTAAAATTTTTAAAAAGTTTAAAAGTGTTTTTTAAAAAAGGGATAAGAATGTCTTGACCCAGAAGGCTGAGGTTGGGGAGGAGGGGTCAGTGTGGGGACATGGTTCCTGCCCAGGCCACCCAGAAGAGGAGCATTCCTGCGTGAGCTACTCCCCCCGGCAGGTCCTGAGTCCCAGCATCAGTGAATAAATAACATCCTGTGGTTACAGTGTCTTGAAGTGCATCTGGGCACTGGGAGAAGGTGGTGGGAATGTGGAGCCTGGGGCCATGGGCAGGGCTTTCCCAGAGTAGGGGCCACAGAGGCCTCTGGGGGGACCTGTCAGTCTGACCTGGCTTGCCCGGGACACAGGGCTCAGACAAGAGGCTGCCAGGCCAGGGTTCCCATTCCGGGAGGGGACAGCAGGTCTCTCTTCTAGCCTCTTTGGACAAGGCCAGACTCAAGATGAGGTGGTCCCATCGCTGCTCTTGGGCTGGTTGCTGGCCTCCTTATCTGGGGTGCTTGCCTCCACCTGTCCTTCTGGAGAGGAGAGAAAGAGGAGTTTTTCTTGGGCGCATTAACATGAATGTGAAGCACAGAAAGGGGTCTGGAAGGGCCCAGCCAACCTGATAACAGTGGATAAGCCATGGGGAACAGGACAGGAGCTGCAGGAGGAGGGACTGTGGCCAAAGGAAACTTCAGCCTGGTCTGTAACATCTTAATTTTTGTAACAGAAATGCATGTGGTGTTACTAGTATAGTCAAAAGTCAATTAATGGCCAGGACTGTGGATGGGTGTTAAAAGCATCAGGTGAAGGGCTATTGAGGGCCGATATTTCTGTTCAGGTTAACCAGATGGAGAGGGTAAATGTTAAGTCACCAGTGTGTAACAGGTGCTCAGTGAATGGTAGTTGTTCTTATAAGGCAGTAAACGGCATTGAAGCAGACCAGCTCAGGGGAGTGGTGAGGGTGGCCAGCATCAGGGCCTGGGGTGCCAGCGGTACGTCCTGGGGTGGGGGTGTGCATGTGTGGACAGCCTGACCCAGCAGACTACTGGAAGCCTCTGCCCCCTCTCCAACGCTGCTAGAAACCTCGGAGGCATTAGGAGTGAGGGGCAGCAGCAGGCAGGAGAGGTGGAGTGATTTGCCCAGTGAGTCAGTGTGCAAGCCGGAATGCAAGCCCTGCTGTGGAAGATGGGCCTGGCAGGCCCAGCCATCCACTGGGCCCGCTGTGCAGGGTGAGGAATGCGCCTAGCCCCTCTAGTGTCAACACCCTCCTCATCAGGCAGCATGGTAATCAGGCATCTCTCCATGAGGTTCCCCACATGGGCCCCAGCATGTGGGCAAAGCTCAACCTGTGGCACAATTCTTAAACCCCAGTGACACTATGCAGTGTCACCAGATGCCTTATAAGCTCACCAAGGGCCTACATTCAAATCCAGCCCTTGCCAGACAACACCTCCCTACTTGGTCTCCGTCTTTGCATCCTTCAGGCTAAGCCCTTCATGTGACTGAGGACCACCCTGTGGTTCTGGGGTCTGAGAAACACTTTCTCATGCACTCTACACAGCAACATGGAGGTGTAATTAGGGTTGTGATACACATGAGAAAACCAAATTTCAGAGGAGTGAACTGATTTGCCCAAGATCAAGCGGTGGAGAGTGCCCTGCCCGCCGCCAAAGCTAGCATCCCTTCCATAAACTTAACTTCTTCCAGTAGGCAGCACGCTCCAGGGTTTATGAAGCCCAACATCAGCATTACCTCATTTTGCCCTTGCAGAAGTCTTAGGAAGTGGGTGGGAGTGGTCGTGAGTGGTGCAGGCAGAAATCGGACGTCTAACTCTCCTGTCTGTACTGATCTCTGTGCCTCCCTCCCCCACCTCTGAACTGCCCCCCAGGCTGCCGCCCATCCTGGGGTGGTGCTTGTAACAAAGGCTTGATCCCAGAAGGTTCTGGCCCTCTAGAAGCCTGGTCAACTAGACTACATTGCGGGCAAAATTCTACCTTGTGCTGCCCCACTTGGCCCTGAGCATCATGTCCCAGGAAGCAGAAGGTTCTCTTTAAATTCCCCACTGATCTCTGCTCTGCTATTTCCTTGCTGTGGGACCTCGGGCCAGTCATTTAATCTTTCTAAGCCTCTGCTTTCTCATCTATGAGGTGAGGATGGTGACACCTCTGCCAGGACCAGGAAGGGGTGTGGGGCCCATATGCGGTCATCTGGCACGTGGGAATGCTTCCTCTGTGCCAGCCCCGGCTCTCCCTTGGCTGGGGAGAAGGACCTGGAGCACTTTCCTCTCCAGCCAGCACCGTTCCCCATAGGATCAGCAAACGGTCCCCATGGCTGGTGGGGCACTCTTGCTTCATGCCTTGCCTGTTGTTCCGCTCATCAGCAGGCAAAGTAACAAAGCATTTGTGCTCCTGATGTCCTGACGTAAGGAACTAAGAAGACAAAGGTTTGCACACAGCACACTTGGGGAGTGCTAAACATAACCAGGGTACAGACTAGGGGAGGACAGGTGGCCAGGCCTTCAAGGCAGGCTAAGACTGTGGCTCCCTTCCCCTGCCCTGGCTGTGTGTCAGTCCTCTGGGAATCTTTAAGCAAACAGAGGCTCTGGGCCCCTATCCCAGGCCTGCTGGAGCAGAATCTCTGGGGTGCCACCTTAACTCTGCATTCCCACTGCCTTGGTGAGCCTGCTGGACTGAGCCTGGCCCACAGCCCTGCCTGTGGAAGCTAAACCACTAATGGTGGGGCCTCCTGGAAGGCTCCCCAGCCAGTACTCATGCCTGAACTGCACCATAAGTGCTTCAGTTCCTTGCAGTGAGCATTATTTGTTCTCTCATGTCCCCTTTGTAAATGTCAGTCACTCTGGCAGGCAAATGTCATGTACCTGGAGGACCCAGACGCTCTAGGAACTCTGAGTCAGACAGGCAAAACAAGTGTTAGAAGTGCCTGGGCACAAGGGCAAGCAGCCACAGCTGCTGAGGTAGAGGGAACCAGAGCCGAGGGTAAGAGTGCAGAAGCCTTGAAAGCGCCCCTGGCAGCACGCCCAGCATGACAGCTGGCCATGTTTGATCATCAGTCGGTCAGTGAACAGCCACTGACTGGACAATTCTATCATGTGCCAAATGCCACCAGGCACCGAGGGCACAAGGCACAGACCCTGTGCCGGAGAAGCTCGGTCTAGAGAGGGGCATTGTACGAAGTGGGAGTACGGAGGTGGCCAGGAGAAGAGGCACATCCCCCTGACTGAGAGAGGAGACTGTGGTCAGGGAAGGTCTCAGCAGAGCAGATGTCTGGTTCTCTGAGAGTGACGAGAAGCCAGCCAGGCAAGGGGAGGGAGGCAAGAACTGGACAGAAGCTGCACAGGGTTAAGGCCCATTGGGGGCTTTCAAGAGATAAAAGTACTTGACTCGGGCCGGGTGAGAGGATACGATGGGAGGAAGATGGGAGCTGAGGCTGCAGAAGGGAGCAGGGTGAGACCCAGGGAGGCTTATGTGCCTGGGTAAGCAGTCTGGGCCACATCACAAGGGAGGGCTGGCAGATCACTCAAAAAGGGAAGGCTTAGGGATGGGCTGGAGGGAGAGTTCCATGGGCAGGGTGCCAGGGGGCTCTCTTTTGAGGCAGTCAGATTCTCATAACTAGGCTAACTTGCTGGGTGACCCTGAGCAAGCCACCCAACTTCTCTGGGCTTCAGTTTGTCCACCTATGACATGAGAGGGCTGGGTCCACGCCCGCACAAAGTCCTCTTTGTTCTGTACTCAAAGGTCACTTCTGGCCAGTGAGGACCAAGAGCTTTAGACTGGCGCTACACAGGGAGGGACAGTGTTGCAGCCCTCCAAGGACAGCCCCAGCAGGAGACAGACACAATCTGAGGCCACAGTGTGAGAAGCAGTGTGACAGCCACAGCCTCTGTGGTGCTGTGGGAGCAGGGTGAAAAGGGCCTCAGCCAGCGCAGGGGTCAGGGAAGGCTTCCCAGAGGAAGGCCCCAGGGCTGACCTTGGACTTGAGCTGAGAGGGTCCTTTGAGAGGACAGAGAGAGAGGAGGAGGAGGAGGGGCATCCCAGACAATACTTGGGTGGCAGATGCGACACTTCCTTTAGTTATTCGTTCAGCCTGTGATTACTAAGCACCTGCTATGTGCCAGGGAAAACAGAAGGCCCCTGCTCTCCTGGAGCTCCTATTTAAATAAATGAGATCTTGTCAGAGAGTGATGAGGGTCACATGATTGGGAGAGATGATTTAGCTGCCAGGGAGGCCCCTTGGAGAGCCTGGTACCTGAGCTCGGGCCTGAGGATGAGGAGGCAGCAGCCACAGCACCAAGTGTGTGATGTGCTAGGCAGAGGAAACAGTGAGACAAAAAACCCTGAAGGTGGAAGACCTGTGCCTTGACTGAGAAACAGATCAAAGGCAGGTGTGGTTGGAGGGTGGGAGGCAAGGAGAGGGTGGCACTTAGTGAGATCAGAGCGGCAGGTGAGGCCCAGTCCCACAGCAGGATGAGTTTGGCATCACTCTGTGTGATGCCACTGGGGGATTTTCTGGCAAAAGCATGACAAGAAAGGCTGGCTCCAACAAATCCTTCTGGCTGTTATGTAGAGCAGGATGGGAGGGATGGAAGTGGGTGCAGGGGACCAAGAAAGAGACCACTGTACTCAGCCAGGTGAAAGCTAAGAGTGGCCAGAGCCGGTGGTGGCTGTGGGGACAGAGAGAAATGCAGAGACCTGGGAAGTATCTTGGAGGAGAACTGCCAGGACTTGCAGATAGACTGGAGGGTGGGGGGAAAGGGAAGAGCCCTGGATGCCTGGCCAGGGAGTCCCTGGGGCCTGAGACACTGGCACCCTCCAACTAGAGATTGGCTGGACTCTCTAGCACTGATCATGGGACAGGCCTGATTTAAATGCAGTTTCTTCTCTGAGAAGTGTGGGCAGTCTAGGATATGGAGACCAGCCTAGAGGCTGGCAGAGGGCCTCTCACATGCAGGAGTGCTATGGGCCCACTGGCTCTGACCTGCCCCCTTTAGTGCCAGCTCGCCCATGTCTCCAGCCAACTTCCTCACGCTCACGGCCTCCGAGTCTCCCTGGATGTCAGGGACTGCGTTCCGACGGCCTGTCCGGTCACAAGAGATGAAGTCCGAGTAGGAGGATTCGACCTCCATCACGCCTGTTGCATCGCTCCTCAGGCCTGTGGGGACAGGGGGCAGGAGGGCACAGGTAAGTCCAGATGCATCTTGCAGAGAAGACTTAGCTCCAGTTCTCCAGCACTGATGTCTTCTGACAAAATGACAGATACTGCCTTTTTTATTGAAGATAAAGCAGAAAGCACAGAAAAATACAATGAACAAAATAAGTCACCCATAATTCCACCCAAACAACACCATCAACATTTTAAAGAACGTGTGCTCAGTCTTTTCTCTAAGTAAAGACAGTGATAAACATTTAGACATTTATCAACAGCACGTGCCAGGCAATGGCTAAATGCCGCAGACGCAACAATGAACGAGTCAGCTGTGGACCCTGCTCTCACACAGCTTACAGTCCACTGGAGACAGCATAAAATTATGTAGCACCCACGTCATGACCACAGGGCTTCAAGGGAGAATGCAGGGAGTTGGAGTGACCACCAGGACCTAACCAATGCTGGGGGTCAGGAAGTGGCATTTTAGCTGAGATCTGAGGATGAATAGATTTATCTAGACGAAGAGTGAGGGGAAGAGCATTACCAAGAGGGGAACAGCACGTGTGAGGGTTCTGAGGAGAGAAGGCATGGTGGGATGGAAGAACAGAAAGAGCCAGCAGGCTGGAGTATGGTGGGAGAGGGGCAGGGACACCAAGGATGCCGCTGAGGTGGCAGGAGCCAGATCACATCTGTTACTTGGTCCCTGAGGGGCTTTAGGCCAGATCAAGAATGATCAGCTGTGCATTTTCAAAGATGACTCTGGTGTCCAGGTGGAGCAGGGCCTGGAAGGGGACAAATTAGGAGGGTCCTGCAGAAGTTCAGGTGCAAGAAGATGATGGGTGGTGGTGGTGGTAAGACAAATTCTAGATGTAATTTGGAGAACAAATCAACAAGACTTAGTGTTTGGCTGATGGGAAATTTAGGCTTCTGACATGAGTAAGTAGGAGGACGGAAGTGTGGAACAAGGAATAACAGAGGAGGAATGTTTTAGGGAGTGGAGGTGGGGTGGAAAATAAGAGTTCTATTTGGCCATGTCAACTTTAAGATGCCAAGTGGGGAGACAGAGTAGGTACATGGAGCTAGGAGGCTGGAGCTCAGAAGAGAGATGGGGAAAGGGACGGGAGGAAAGATATGAAATTAGGAATTATCATTACAGAGATGGTGGTTAACAGCCCTGGTGGTTGATAAAATGAGGGTGTTTCAAGAAGTTCATGGAAGGGCCGGCCCGGTGGCGCACTGCTACAGTGCGCTGCTTGGGAGCGTGGTGGCGCTCCCGCCGAGGGTTCAGATCCCATTTACAGACCAGTTCCCGCTCACTGGCTGAGCGAGGTGTGGGAGCAACACCGAGGGTTGCGATCCCGTTGCTGGTCCCGGTCCGGTACGGGCGCGACACTGAGGGTTGCGATCCGTTGCCAGACACGAAAAAAGACAAAATGGAAAAAAAAAAAAAAAGAAGTTCATGGAAAAATACAAAAGATACAAATCTTTCCATGAACTTTTTAAAGTACCCTCAAACAGCCTAGAGAGAGAAGAGAGCACATATATAAAGAAGAGTCATATACCTTTAAAAATTATTTTGGGATCATACTATCCACTGTATTTTATAGCCTACTCTTCGGAACATTTTAGAACATGTCATTAAGGTTCCCTCTACATGATTTTTGTATCTGCATACTTGGATATACCATGATTTATTTGATCAGTCCCCTAGAAATAAACATGGAGGTACTTTCCAATTTTCTACCACTACAGACAGCACTACATCTTTATGTAAATCTTTGTGCCCAGTCCTAATTATTTTCTTATAATATATTCCCAGAAGTAGAATTGCAGGGCTAAAGGGAAGGGTGAAATATTTTTTAGGCTTTTGACACATTTCCAAGTTGTTTTCCCCAATGGCACAGTGGTAATTATAATGACAAAAAACTGGGAGAAAAAGCTTATCAATTCAGTACTTTTTCTATTTATATTCCCGCCAGTAGCACACGAGATTGTCCGCTTGCCAACTAGAGGTACTGCTATTATATTAATAAAATGTTAATCAGCTCAGGGGATATTAGTACCTCTCATTGAGCACTTATGATATTCTGAAGGAAACTGAATCATAGTCACTGCATGAACTCTACCTGGCAGACCCTGAGTTAGGCAATGGGAGGGGTGGTCTAAGCACTGGCGTGACTTTAGGAGTTTACAGTCCAGTGGGGTGGGCCTAACAAATTCCACTTCTATACACACACAGGCAAATGCCCAATGCTCTATGTGGTGTTAAGATGTTTACTGCACATGGTCGGTAATAACAACCTGTAGGAAACCACCCACATGTCCATCAGGAAGTTAGGCATTACATGAATTATGAAGTATTCATAAAAAAGAAATGTGCCAGATGGATCTGTACTGACCTAGCAAGATGTCTGAGACAAACTGTTAATTAAAAAACGAAGGCTGCAAAACAGCACCTAAAATAAAACCCAGTTTCTGTGGGGAAAGATAGCAGACACATAAAAAAAATATCTGGAAAAACATGTAACAACCTTATAAACTGTGGTTCTTTGTGATTAAGGGGAATTTTCATTTTCTAAGTCTACATCTTTGTAATGGTTGAAGGTTTTATAACCCAAGTTATCATGTAATGCTTTTAGAAGGTAACTGACATTGGCAGGAAGTGCCTGGAAAGCACCCAGGGTGGGGCTCAGTCGGTAAGAGCTGCCAGGAGTGTGTGCACGCACGCACTTGCGCATGTGTGTGAAAGGAGGGGCTGACCAGTATGGAGCGCTAAGCTCACAATCCCCACAACACCTAGCTCAGAAGAGACACCTACAGAATGGATTAGGGGCACTCAAAGATCAGACAGTTGAGACAGGGAGGTGTCCTGTAGAAGAAAAGAATGAGACATGTGACCTTAAATACAAACTCTGCCATCAGACCTTGAGCAAGACCTCGCCCCTCTCTGGGTCTCCATTTCTCCATCTGTAAAATAAAGGTGGGGCCAGAGTTCTAAGGCAATTCCCCACAGCTCCGGCAGATGGCACGCCCCGCTTATGTTTCTTAGCAGCCTTGAGAGAAGTTGCCTTTGTCATGCTCTGGCTCCCCCTCAGCTAAATGAATTCCCAGAAGTTCCAGAGGTGGTTCCTTCTGCAGGTCACAGAGTTTCACTCCTGCCCTTTCCCTCTGGGAAAACTGCTCAAAGCTTCAGAACAAGGGAATGGCCTGCTGCAATAGTAATAACAGTAATAGCAAGAGAATAAAAATTATGACAATTCTAATGATAATATTAAAGGTAACACTTAATATTATGTTACGTGCTTATATGTTTTACATAAATCACTTACCTAATGGCCACAACAGCCCTCTGACATAAATGAGATAAATTTATAACCATGACTCAGAAAGGTCTCAGGCTCCTAGGCCCAGGCTCATCCTCCATATTATACCTGCTGCCTATGGGAAAGGACAGAGACCCTGAGCAGGCCACACCACCTCCCAAAGCCTTGGTTTCCTCAGCTCTTTTCCTCCAGTTGGAATGTGACCTCCACGAGGGATTTTTGTCTGGATTTTCATCATGCCAGACTGAAAGGGCTCATTCTGGCAGCTGAGCCAACATGTTCAACTACTTCATTCCCTGATTCTCACAGCACCTGGTAAAGAGTAGGTGGCTCCATAAATACTCACTGAACTAAATTTGTATCTATCTAACTATGTATTTAACTCCTCTCTCTGCCTATCTAACTACCTATCTGTGGAGATGATAAAGCAATTCCTTCTTGGGACTCCATCCACTGCAGAGTGCTGTGCTGGTTGGTGTTCTTGTCTGGTATCTCTAGGATCTGATACCATGGGATGGAGTTACAGGCTCCATCTAAAAGGCCAGCTTCACTGCTAGGACAGACTCCTTGGGGCTTTGACCTCCATCTTGTTCTGTCTAACCTTACAAGCTGCCCAATGCAGGAAGCCAGGTCTTTCCTGGCAGTGAGAGAGACTTGTGCCAAGCCAAAGCCCAATCCTGGAAGACATCAAATGAGCCAACAAGCTCTAGCCACCATATCCCCATTCCCTCAGGAAACAGCGATTCCATAGATGGGTCTAGGGAGCTCTTTGATTCGAAGCACAAACATAATATCATTTCTTCTACATTTGTATTCCCCTTTGCTCACCCTCTGCTCTTTAAAGTGAAGAGCAAATGGGGAAATAAAAGAAGGAATCCTCAGAAAATGGTCATTTTCTCAGACCCTGTTAATGAGAGTGTAAAATGCTAGGACATCCCTGGGGAATGACTTGACAATATGTACCAAGAAACATCAACTTTTTTCATATCCTTGAACCACTAAGTAAGTTTATAATAATTTATTCTAAGAAAATATTCCAAGTTGTGCAAGAAGATAAATGTATAAATCACAGTGTTATTTATAATAGCCAAAAACTGAAGACATGAAAATGAGCTCCTAAATGGACATGTTAAATGTCCTAAATGGATAATAGAGAAAAACACACTTATATCCAAATGAAATACATTCGGGCATTAAAATAATGTCTGTAAATATTTTTAAAGACATGGAAAAATGTTCACAAATATTATTAAATGAAAAAGAATCTCAATGATATAATCACATGTATTAATATTTAATTATGAGTAACCGAAAAAATCCTTTATATTTTCTAAAGTTTTTACAGTGAAAGCATTCACTTTATTTTAAAATTACTTGATTTTTGAATAAGTGTGCATGTGGTATAAAATTCAAAAGGTTCAGCAGGAAAGAGATAAGAGCTCAATCTCCTTCCCACCTTATCCCCCACACCCTTTCTTGTGGCTTTCCAGAGACAGTCTATGCAAAATACATATTCCCTCTCTCTCTCCCCCTTCCATTCCTTTTTCCTTTATTTAAAACAAAATTTTTTTTTTTCCATCTTACTGTTTTATTTAAGAATATATCTTCGAAACAATTCCAGATCATCCGGAAGCCACCATAGCACTGATTTGATCAAAACACTGGAAACAAACCCAAAGTCCT